GCTCTCATCACAGTCTGCATGTGAGAAACTCGGCCTCTTGCCAGTTCCCCCGCCTCATGAACTTTCACACTCAATGAGTCACTTATATCCTGTGCCCATCTTCGTGTCGGTCGGCCTCTGCCCCTTCTTCCTGGTACCATGCCTTCTGCTATAAATTTTTTTCAATCCGTCGTGGTGCTTGATATGACCAAAATATTTCAGTTTCCGAGAAAGGATGCTGTTTATTAGCCAATCTTCCTTGATGTTCAGATCTTTAAAGATGTCAATATTTCTCATCTTCTTTGTCCAAGATATTCTGAGAATCTTTCTATAGCATTTCAGCTCAAAAGCCCCTATTCTCTTTCTTAAGGACTGAGAAATAGTCCACGACTCACATCTGTATGTAGCCACAGGGAAGATGCATGCTCTCAAAATTCTAATTTTTATCTCCTTTCTGGTGCTTAACCATAGACTTTTAAGGCTGTTAAATCTTTGCATTGCTATGGCCATCCTCCTTTTAATTTCTGTCGAACAGTCTCCATTGTTGTTTATTATAGAGCCTAGATATTCAAAGTTTGGGACATTTTCAATTTCTTCATCATTTAATGTTATTTTTGGGTGACAGTCAGTTTTATCTGCGGACATTATTTTCGTTTTCTTTAAATTCAAGAACAGATTTTGATCTTCACTGTGCTTTTGGACGGGCATATTAAATTTTCTATTCCCTTTACGCTGTTCGAAATGAGGACTGTGTCATCTGCGTAGCGGAGTTCCCGAATATGGTTGCCCCCAATTTTGAGCGGATCATAACTGTCACAAGTCTGACATCTCATCTGACATCTTTTTGACATCTCTCATTTTTTTTCTGCATATATATTGAATAGGTATGGTGAGAGAATGCATCCCCGCCTCAGCCCCTTTTGCACCTCGAACCAATCAAATGTTTCACCAGCTGCTCTGATGGCTGCTTGTTGTTCATGATAGAGATTTTCAATTAACTGCACTAAATGCGCTGGAAACCCCATACATTTCATAATAGTCCACAGTTGGTGGTGCTGGACACAATCAAATGCCATGCTATAAAACAAGCAGGAAGATCTACATTGTATTCTCTGCATTTTTTCAAAAATTATTCTCATGTTAAATATGTGATCCCTAGTTTCTCTACCCTGTCTGAAACCCTCTTGTGCTTCATCTAGTTCATATTGTAATTTCCTTTCAATCCTTTTCATGATAATTCGTAAGAGGATTTTGCTAGCATGACTTATTAATGCGATGGTGCGGTAGTTGGAGCATAGTTTTTGATTTTCTTTCTTTGGGAGAGGGATATAGACTGTTCTTTTCCACGCTTTAGGCCAAATGCCACTGTTCCAGATCTTCGAGCACAGTGCATGGTAGATTCGGACGCTGGCCTCTCCTCCTGCTTCAATTAGTTCTGCTGGTATTTCATCGCAACCTGGTGACTTTCCTTTCTTCAGGCTGTGTATTGCTGATCGTACCTCATTCAGTAAAGGCTCTGGTTCTTTTTCATATCTTTCACAGGTCGTTTTTGAATTACCTGTCGCATCCTCATACATTTCTCTACAGTATTTCGTTATCACTTATTACATGTAAAGAAGGCCTGAATTCGTATTTCAATGTTTTAATTACTTTAAACATGTCTCTGTCTCTTCCCTGCATCTGGAGTTGTTCAATTCTATTACAGGTATTTATAATAAACTTTTTTTAAAATCTCTTCGGATAGCTCTTCTGATTTCTTTCGCGTAGTTCCTATATGCATGGCTATTTTTTCTGTCCCTTCTTGCTTTAAATTTCTTCTTTCTTCTATCAGCTTGAACGTTTTTTCTGTAATGTAAATCTGTTTCTTGTGTGGTTTTTTTTTTAGGAATCATGTTTTGAGCTGTTGTGATGATGATATTACTTGTTTCAACAGCCAACTCATCAGGTGTCATATCCTCCTGCACTGCCATTAGCGCCTCTAATTTGTTTCCAAACTCAATGTTGAAGTCATTTGGCAAATTACTCAAATCAAACGTATTGACTTAACCCCTTTCAACACTTTTTTCAGTTTTATTTTAAACTCTGCAACAAGAAGGGAGCTGTTTCTATGCTAAATAAATTCTCCGACTCTTATTTGCTTCATTTATTCTGAATGTATTTGTTTACGAAGCTTACACATCACTTGCGAGAAACCTTAGGTTTCTTGCTACACTGAGGTTGCCAACCAACATCTGGTAATTTTTTCTTTTTGATATGTGTCACAAGTGGCTGGAAGTATTCCAACATGGGGCTGGTGTCTATCCAATCTTGTCCTGTCAGTTCTCTTAAAGCCACAGTCCAGTGTACAGACGATCCAAGCTTCATCACTTCCCTGTTGGAGATAGTCGTTATTGTTAGAAAATAATAACACTAATTAACGCAGACAGGAAGGGGCACAATTCGTATTTCCCCCATATTAAACCGAGATAAAAATGGAAGAGCTGAAATGTCTGCCTCTATCCAGATTATTGTGTAGGATGTAGAAGACACGTGTGAACAATATGTATCTCTGATTACTAACTATCAATTGCCGTAACAGCTATTTTTCGATACAGAGATCCAGTTTAGTAAAATATGCTTCAACTAATTATTGTAACAGATTTGGCTTCTTAATTTCTTGGGCTGCTATGTTATCTGAGCACAGACACTCTAACCGTCGTCTGTGTCGATGAACGCAGTCTCGTAGATCCGATATACCGGGCCATTTCGATGTAGACCAATTTCAACAATGGTATGCGCGTCGACCGTTACGTGCGATACTAAATATTGGACATAAAGTGCTTAGTAAAACCCACAAATATCCCAGAAATGGTAGGAATGGTTTGCAACATCATGCAGAGAACATGCACAAAAAAACATTGTTTAACAGAACAACAATTTCCACACACACTCGCGCATACTTTATGTAACTATTAAATGTCTATGAACATGAATGATACCGAAGTTTGTAGCCAGCTGTAAATGTGTTCTCCAAGTTGCATTTATGCAAAGGCCCTTTGTATCCCGCTATAGTACACAGACCTTTCAAGATCTGGAACTGGAGAATCGAGCTGAGGAAGTGTCTGGAAGAAAAACAAATGTTAGTAATATTACATAGCCTAAGATAATATGAAAGACCCTTGTTCACGCTGTCAGGCGTATTGGACATATTTTATCAACAAATCAGCGCCCAGTGGGTGATGTAGTCAGCATCACGCTGACCACCTTTACTTAAAAGACTTTGCCTTGAACATAAGGCAACATAGCAATGTGCCTAATACAGTACTACCCCATTATATCAATTAATCAATCATTCAATCGATCAAGCAGTCAATTAATCGAGTGGTGTCTCACCAGCGACGTTTGGCTGCAAGGATCTCTAATACTATGTCTCTTGTCTTGATTGTACACTCTGCTGTTCTTCTATCTTTTGATGATTTACTCCCATTTGTATCGCAGCAGCTTTATTTTAAAATTGTTCATGGTTTAACATCAAACTGTTTGCTCTTCAAATTGGACAAATGGAAAATAAGGCTGACCTGTGGTGGGGCTAACAGAACACACTAGTCACCATGAGCGACTTGACAACCTGTTTATAGCTGTTCCAAAATATTACATAGGCTGTGTTGTGCTTGTTGACAACATTACTTCAAACTCAGAACATCTTCTTCAGGTCCATGTGGCGTTGGTAATCATGTCTATCCGCAACCTTCTGTCTCGTGTACTTTCAATTAACATTGATACAGATGATCGTGGATGCCATGATGTCAAACTGTCCAGCATCTGTTTCTCTATCGGTTTCCCTCCGCCTCTCCTTGCCTAAAAATTTCCCTCTGTCACGACGTACTCCAGTTTTCTCCTTCTCACTATATGATCAAAGAATGTAGATTTTCTCTTTCTGATGCGTGCGATCATTTCTCTTCGCTTATCACTTTATTTGAAGACATCTTAATTACTCTTTTTATCTGTTCAGGGTATTCTCATCATTCGTCTAAAAAAAAAAATGAAACACACACATCTTTGCAGCTTTCAAATAATTTTTCACTTATTTACCAACTGTCCATTTAAATTCGGAACAGACACTGCAAACTCAGAGCCCACCAAGACACCAATAAGTCCCATTGATTTTGTTCCATATGGTTGTTGTGCATGAACACAAACTCCAGAGTAAGATCAACCAGAAGTGGAGAATCTGAAAATCTTCTCTAAGTACAATGTTCGACAGTTTATTCACAAAAAGTGCAGTTCAATCATATCATTACAAAGGTGCTGTTGTTACACAATGTTTTTAGGTGTCTGAAGAAAACAAGAACTGTTAAGTTAGAAGAAAGACTGATCACGTATTTTATGGAAGCAAAGTTTCCAAGTCAATTAACAATGGTGAGGGGCAATGTGAAGCAGCCGGCCATTGCCAAATTCATCATGAAGACCGTTTCATGCGTTTTTGCCAGTTTGAAGGAAAGATGAATCGCGGCGTATATTCCAGGCTTTATTACCAGTGAGCGCCATTATAGTTTTGGAGAAACAACATTTGCCTTACAACCTTTGTAATATAATAATTATATCGTCTATTTGAAGAATATTAAATTAGAAAGACTTACAGGGATCAATGCTCAGCATACCCGGCTCTGATGAGTTTCATAATTCTTTCATTGATTTTTTCTTCCAACTTTTCCCGTTCTTTCGTACATGTCACATTTCACGACAGCAATTCTTTTAAGAAGTTTCAGAATTTCCGTTTTTTTACTACTACTTTCTCTCCGTTCGTTGTGCACTATCATTGCTGGTTCTTTTCATTAGCAGGTAAATGTATACCTAATATGAGAATCAATGCTAGGAAAAGAAAAACTAGTTAACTTTAACGTTAAATGTAAGAATTAAAGAGAAACAATAAATAATGCGGCATGAAAACTGTCGTCATATAAAAAAAAAAAAAAGGCAGAAAACCCAAAACAAGACAATAAGGTAACTGCATAACAGACTGCATATAGTTTTTATATTACTTAATGTAAGGCTGGTTAGCAGCTATCTGGTATAGGCCACCTGCGTCAAAATCTTCTGCTGATCTTTTCACGGGTGGAGATACCCCTTGTAGTTCACAGCTGAAAGTTGTAATTACACACGTGTGTAGAATGCCATAAAATAAAATGAAGTTACGCAGTATACACTCAATTTTTTTTTTTAACAAATGCACACACACTAAAACACAATAATTAAATTTTACTACTGCTATCACCATTACCACCATCACCACCACCAGCACCAAAACTACTACTCTCCAACAGCTGTTTCTGCTGCTGCAACTACTTACTACTATTGCTGCTGTTGCGACTACTACTACTACTACTACTACTACTACTACTACTACTACTACTACTACTACTACTACTACTACTACTACTACTACTACTACTACTACTACTACTACTACTACTACTACTACTACTACAAATACTGCTACTACTACTACTACGACTTTTACTAATACTAATACGACGACGACTACTACTACTGCAAATACTACTACTACTACTACTACTACTACTACTACTACTACTACTACTACTACTACTACTACTACTACTACTACTACTACTACTAGTACTACTACGTCTACTCTATTACTACTGCTACTACTGCTACTACTGATGCTTCTGCTACTACGTTTGCACCTAATGCTGCTGTAACTACCTTTTCTACTTCTTCTATTGTTGCTGCTAAATAATAATAATAATATAATAATAATAATAATAATAATAATAATAATAATAATAATAATTGCCCTGAACACTGCTCACCGAAGACGCCACCAGACTTTATTATAATTTTCAGGAGTTGTACTGCCATTGAAGACTGACCAGCGCCACTCGTCAACCACATAAGCAAATGGTATCCTGACAACGTGTCTCAAAGCCAGGTTCATCTGATAATTTATTATCTGTTCTGAATGAGAGTCAAAATTTCTTGGAATCATACTAAAACATCAAATAAACCAAATATTTCCTTTAATTATCATCATTTCTGAATGAGAATTTTTAGGTCATATTGAAATATCGAAGGTTTCGAATACATATGATCATTAACTGCCTACTATGAATGAGAAATAGTAATTATTGATCAAAGACGTCCACATTTGTGTGAGACCTATAAGTGGGGCAAGAGAAGAAAAAAAAAGGGGTGGGGGGGGGGGTGGTGGTGGGGGGGGGGGAGTCTTCGTGCCTAGAAAGTTTAAACTCGAGGTGGTCTTGGTCAGACACCGAGGAATATGAGATTAACAAAGTTAGTCTTCTCGATGTCAAAGCTTAAACCTTCTCATTCTTGAAAATAAAACAAAAATTAAAACCCTTTAAATCTGTATTTTTTTGTCTTTAAAGATATTACATGATAATTAAAAATTGTCTGTCCATGGTGAAGATTGACTTTTGTGTGTATGCGTCAACATTGCAGTAATTGTCAATAGTATTTGGTGAGGCTTCAAACCCTTTCACAGTACAGCTCTTTTATCACCGCTAGACATTTTCGAAAACAGTCTTTGCAATCTCCCTTCGTGGAAAACAAGCCCTCGTAGTCCAGGATTGTGAAAAGTGTTCACCAACCTCTAAGTCACAGATTCACACTAACGTGTCTGATCAGCATTCCTCTATATGAACATGTAAAGCATTTGCCTCTGGCTCAAAAATGGAAAATAAGACATTCATACACGCATTGCAATGATTGGAGACGTCATGCTTTTTGATGAGCTCTACTGTCTAAAGTTAGTTGCGTATCCTTTACAGGACGTTGCAGAACCAACCCTAACAGCCCCTGGCTGTTGTGTGGTTTCTCTAGGCAAGTTACATCCAGTAGTTTGCCATTGCTTTCTGGACGATTGGCTTTCTTGATACCACTGTCGAAACCAACGCAAGGCGCATTGCCCGCAGCTGGGATCGAACCTGGCATCCCGGCATTACGAAGCGAAGCGTTCACATCGACTTAGCCACAGAGCCGACCTCTACTGTCTAGGCAGGCTAAATTCTAAAAAAAAGAAAACTTATTCTTGAAAGAATTTTTGAGACATTTGTGGTTTACTGCATCTAAACAGTTCTTCTTCTTCTTCTTTAAATAGATTATCTATATCTGCAATGTTGTCTCTAGTATGAACTTCACGTCTTTTGTAATTCACTCAGCGACCAGTAAAGTTTGACTTGCAACGATGTTTCTCGTGGCCAAAAGTTTTGCCTTCATAAACTGTATCTGGGACAGTCTTGGAGGACATGATCTGTTGCATCTAAACAGTAATTTATAGCATCATTGCCGCAAGATTTAGTGCGTGTCACACATACACACACACACACACACACACACACACGCACGCACAAACACACACACTTAATACATTGCTTGTTTAAACTGAAGGATATTTCGTTGCATTCCATTGTATTTGCCAATCATATTCGCTGCATTATCACATGACTGCCTTCAGTATTTCCCGAAATCAGTTTTGCTGTCCAGGCTTAGATATCCTACGACTATACTCGCCATATCTTCACCGCTGTGAGTTATCAGCTCTGGACAAGTTAGTGTTCAACAGGTGAACCATCACCAGGTGATACAAACTATACTTATTGATTCACATCATGGAATATTTGTTTCTTAAGGGGAAAAAAAAAGATTGAATACTTTAAACATGCGCTGTATGAGACACATTCTTGCATGTTATGGCAGGACTTCGTCCCAAATAAATGACCCAGACTCGAAAGAGCAGCAATGCCAACAATGTGTTTTCTATTGAAGAAAAGACGCCTGACTCGCTTGGGACATATCTCTCGTATGGAGGACGGTGACATACCAAAGAATCTCCTGTATGCTGAACTGGTAACAGTATTAAGAAAAGTAAAAGTCAAGATCCCTTTTCACGAGTTAGGCTCATTGGGCATATGGGAAGAGTGTCCCATATTTTTACAGACCGATCCGTACTGGATGGGTAATGTGGTCAGCATTACGTCTGCCGTCTTTACTTTCCCAGGACAGCCATCCTGGTACCCATTTTAGGCTGGATCGACCTGCGACGTCCCGTACCATAATAAAAATCCAGGCAGCCTGCAGTGGGCTTCAATCGCTGTACGTTGGATTACGAGTCGGACTCGCAACATTTAGGCCGCAGACGCCGCTAACATTGCAGAACCAACCCCAACAGCCTCTGACTAACTAATTTCAATTACTTTCATTTATCGCTTTGCTTCCTGTGAAGTTCTTTGTCTGCAGATAGTTTAGATCTTGAACAGACATTTCAATGGCACCACCAACTGCATCCAGGAACGCTGAGAGGATAAATAACACACCTGATTCAGCGAAGAACAACTAAAGACGAAACGATAATTAAAAGCGCATTGGAAAACAAATCTCTGAGGACATCAACATGTGTGTGGTAGTTTGTGATGCTGTCTACCTTAAGTAATGTAGTTTGTGGAGTTACCTACCGTGTGTATCGTCGACTGTGATGCTATCTAATGTGTGTATCGTCGACTGTGATGCTATCTAATGTGTGTATCGTCGACTGTGATGCTATCTAATGTGTGTATCGTCGACTGTGATGCTATCTAATGCGTCTACTGTTGTTTCTGATGATATCTACCGTGTGTATCGTTGTATAGGATTTTTAACAAGAACAGTCAAATACATAGGTTTTTGAAAGATTCTAATAAAAAGACAATTACGTAAAGAAAGAAAAAAGGAGGCAATTGAACTTATATCGGCCAGATCAAAAGGCATATTAGGCTTCAACAAATTTAGCCGAAGGAAAAGACTAGGGTAAGAGAGCAAGAAGCAGGCAACAGTATAAGTGGTAGGACAACATCAAGAGATGACCAACAGCAGTCTAAGAGAGTGTACCACCGAGACCAGAGACAGCGCATGCTTGAGATCCACAGCAACCTGTCTTCTTTGTGGAGACGCCATATGATTGATTGATTGATTCCATATAGTTTTCGATGCTGTCTCTATTGCAAAATTATAATGTTCTCTCACCACTACTGTTCGTTACATTCGTCGACCAAATTTGCAAAACAACTAACACCAGCGAAGGGGACAACATCGGAGAATTACCAAATGAATTGCATCACAGCACTCGGGGCATTCCTATGCGTGCTCCGTCCACATCTTCAGCAGCCAGCGCAGAGTTCCAATATTGATAGTACCGGTCACAATCTGATTATTTGTCCGTCGTGCTTTTCCTCTGAGTGTAGTGAGCCGGTCAGACACTCTAGGTACACCCAGGAGCCTCGTTCTCTCCAGGCCACAATAATAATCTTGTTTCTACTGATTCTTTTGCTTGTTCCCGAAGGGCATTGACCACATCTGCCTTGTCATGCATCAATTCATCACTCAGTTGTGCAGATCAAGCCAGTCTGTCTGCCTGTTCATTACCCACCAGTTAAGGCAGGCAAAAATTTTTACATATCTGGAGAGCATGTTTTTCAGAAGACGGAAGAATTAATAAAGATGTCAGATGCAATGAAGCCAATCGAGTTTTAGGCAAAATGGCACCAATTTTGAAATGCAAGTATGTGAATATTAACACTAAAAGAACACTGTTTAACACGATACTCTTACCAATGCTATGCTATCAATGTCAAACATGGACACTGTCTTCAGAAAACAGAATAAAAATATTCATGACAAAAATGAAATGTTTACGAACTATGCTGGGCATAACGAGGAAATATCGACCTAGAAACGATGATATCACGAGGAGAGTCGGCACAGAACCAATACTGAACTTTATAGGTAGACAACAAATCAAATGGTTTGGCCATGTAATAAGACTGGTAAAAGACAAGGCACCACAGAGAGCAATGTTATACAGATACAGCGGTAACAGAGCCAGATGTCGACCGCGCAGATTATGGATCGCAGAAATATCAGAGACACTGAAAAGTATTTTATACAAAGCGAACAGACGGGTCCGTTCCAGATATTTCTTCCTGGCCTGGTGGACTGGATTCTGTTCATGATAAAGGAAACAAATGTACAGGATAGAACGGAATGAAGGAAGAGACTGCCATCTGTGTATGACATATAACGGCACAACATACAATAAATATATAGATATGTATATATGTTAGTTAGTTAGTTAGTTAGTTGGGTTATCCTCATTGCACTCCGGACATGTCCATAGGTGCTCAGATCCTCCCCTCAGAATGAACCCCAACGTCCGATGGCTAATAGTACCAGTTCTATGTTGATTAACAAGTCTTCTGGCGTAGCTGGTGAGCGTCTCGTTTTTTGCTGTGCCGATCTTAATTCCCAAGTCTGCCATTCTGGTGAGTGATGTGGATTCACTGCCACCAAAGTCCTCTATCCTTCCCATTTCTCTGAGGGCATTGATAATATCAGCATGATCCATAGGCTGACCGTCGGTAGTGATAGCGGATCCAGCCAACCTGTCAGCTCTTTCATTTCCATCGACGCCTGCGTGTCCCGGAACAAAAATAAAGGTGACTCCACGAACAGTGGACTTCTGTAATGATTCAAGCCATTGTCTTTGCACTGAACCTGCCTGAACCCTCCGGATCATACTCATTGAATCACTGAGTATACACACGCAGGTGTATTTTTGTGTTTCAAGCCAGGCAAGCGCTTGCGTTACTGCCATCACCTCCATCGTCATGCTGCTGGTTGTCATGGAGAAGGCGCCGTTGGCTTCTTTGACTGTTCTGCCCGCTGAGCGTGCTGTAAATGCCCATGCGCTTCTTCTTTGACGTATAACGGATCCGTCTGTATAGATTATTGCATCTGCTTCGTCTAAATTTTCACCGATGAGAGCGTTGACCTCTGCATTAACAGCAACAGGATTCTCTTCTCTACATCGCCTGTTGAGTGTGACAATACAGGAAAATGTACAAATAAACGCCTGAGGCACAGGTATCCATTCTGCACCAGGTATGATGTCGGTTAGGCTGCAT